GTGTGTGTGTGTGTGTGTGTGTGTGTGTGTGTGTGTGTGTGTGTGTGTGTGTGTGTACGCTCCTGGTATGGAAGGGAGGCATGCACTCGGCACAGAGTTTAATGTGTGTATGGTGTGCGTGTATAAAGAGACTTCTGCTCTCTTGTCCACAGGGAGATGAGGGACCGAAAGGCGGCTTCCGAGAGGAAGCCTGATCCTTATGCCCGTTGCAGGGGAGACAAAAGGTCGCTTATTGCCGTGTGAGGAAAGGTACATGTCAAGGGTAGATCTCTGCAGTGGAGTTTCCTTGCTTAACTAAGAACAGCCTGGGTTTTATAAACAAACTCCTTGCTTCTCCCCGAATACAGGGAGAGGCTTCCTCTCCCCCGGAGGCCATGGTTCCCCGAGATCTGCCTGGTGTGAGGATAATAATGAGAGCTGAGCTTCACCCTGGGAAGGAACCACTATTGAATTGGCCTGTGGACAGGTGCGGGCCGTTAACAAATACAATAGGGCGTCTGTTTGCCTTACACATAAGCCGCTTGACCTGGCCTCTCGAAAATTGCCGGGCTCCGGGCTGGCAAGATGGCTCATCGGGCAAAGGCACTGGCTGCCAAGCCTGACAGCTTGGGTTCAGCCCCCAGGACCCACACGGTGGGGAGAACCGAGTCCTGCTAGTTGCCTCCTGCCCTGCCCTCCACACGCGTGCGCACGCAGACATGCACACTATAAACAAATACAATGAATCTTTTTAAATTGTTGGGCTGGTCAGGTGGGGGCCGGGTATTTTGCCGGGTATGTGTTTCCAAGACTGGATGAAACACCTTCATGTTACACAGAACAGCCCTGATTAAGACCCCCGTGAGCAGCCCTCGCGAGTGTTCCCAAGCCACCGTGTGAGGGGTACGGCGGGCTGAGCCTGCTTCTCCGGCCCTTTTTGGCTGCGTTGGCAACTGGCCTCCTGAGCTTGTCTCCCGGGGCATCCCGGCTCCAGGCAGGCAGAGTCCGGAGAAAAGCCCTTGGTGTCTTGTGCCCCAGGAACAGACATTGTCCCCTGCGGGGATGGGGCGGTAGAAAGCCCGTGGGGCGCGAGGAGAAGTGCAGACGGTGTTAGTGAGTTGCCCTGGGTACAGGAAACGAACAAAGTCAAGGACTAGACGTGCTCTTTGCCTTCCGATCCTCTGCCCGGTGTCTCTGCATCAGTGATCAGTAACCCTCATGACCGACAGGTCGCAGGCGGGAGCAGCTAAGTTGGCTGTCACTAGCTGAGTCATTATATGCCATGGATAACTTTGTTGACAACAAAGACCAACCAGGAACCCCCTTGGTGCGCCCCACACCCCTGTGGAGATATTGCCCCACCACCACCACCTTATGGCTCATGTGGCTTCAGGTAGTCAGCAACAGAGCCATTCACTGCTGTTTGGAGGATCAAGACTTGGCAGTGTCCAGAAAGGACCGGGAAGACTGGCTTTGGTCATGATGTGGCTTCAAATCTGGAGAGATCTGAGGACTGTGGAGGGCCAAGGTTCTACCAGGGGTCTCCTAGGAGGTTTAGAAAGCCCACACCACTGTGAGGAAGGATGGGGAGAGGGTGCGGGATTTGATGGATCGTGGCCGTGCGCCTCACTGGCATGCATCTCCCACATGGCCCCCTTCTCTTGAGACTTGCCCAGCCTGCATCCCTCAGCCCTAGTTTGGGTGGAACTCTGATCTGCTGGTGTGATCCCTGTGACTCGAGTCTCACCTCTTTGGAGTCATTTGAATGAACATCCTTAACTAAATTTATTCGTCCGTGTCGGGGTGAACTGATAGAAGCTTTGCAGACAGCTGGTCCGGCCAGCCCCTTTCACAGATGAGGAAGACAGGCCTGAGGAGATGGAGAGTTGCCCCAGATCACAGGGGTTCGGTCTAGAGCAGGGCTGTCACCTGCTGCCCTTGGCTGGCTAACACAGCAAGGTGCTGACTCACCGCAGACTTTCACTCTCGACGGCGTTTTGGAGAGGCCACGCTCCGGTGACTCTTTGGAACTTTCTTCTCTAAGTAGATGAGAAATCTGTCAGGAGAGACTTGGAGGCCAAGATGGCTTCCGAGAATCCTCACTGGAGCGGAGCAGAGTGGGGGCCCCTTCCCAGGTGACTCGGGTTTTGTTTTGGAAACTGAGCGTTTCAGAGAGTCTTCTAGTTTGGCTTTTTTTTTTTATTTTTTGCAATGTTGTGCTTTGTTTTGAGACATGGATTTTTTTTTTTTTCTTCTAGTGTTTCCCTCCAGAGGCAAAGCCCAACACACCTGTCTTTTGTCCACTTCTGCAGCAAATTAGATTTGTCTCTGGGAATGTGTTTGTCACTTACCAACCTACTGCAGAGCAGCAGAGGGAACTCCCATGTTGAATTTGTTAGTGGACCCCCCCCCCTTTTGCAAAAAACTTATTTCTTGATGATATTTGAGAGATTTCAATAAAAATTTTAATCAGCAAAAAAACAAAAAATGATCTCAAGTAGACTACAGAGTTTTTTGTTTTCTTGGCCCCTACAATTTTGGAGCAAAAGTATTTCATCTCTGTCTGAGGTTTGTGAGAACCCGGCCCGGAGCAGCTAAGTTGTATGTTCCACGGGAGCAGACTCCGAAAGAGCGCTCCAGAAGACCGCGCCGCCCAGCGGAGGGTTTCATCGATACCACCTCCATCTTCTTGAGCTTCAGAACCAACCCCCGAGCTTCATGCTAGAAGATCCTCGTGCCAGCAGGTCATCGGCTCCCAGAAGTCCTTGCATCAGCACCAGCAAGGCTGGCATCCAGCTAGTGGACACATGCTCCCTGTGTGCCCGCTCTGGTCCCAGGGAAGGGAAGACCCCGGACATTATTAATATAGAGTGGGATCTCATTTCTAGTTCCGTTCTAGTCTTGAGCTACAGTCCTCAGCTCTGGTTTAAAGGTACTTACGTGCCACCACATCCCATTGTTTTTGATCCAATGGTGGCATGCACCTGTCATGCCCTGCACTTGGGAGACAGAGTCCTAGCCAGCCTGGGCTAGGATTAATTAATTGCCCCCCTGCTCCAAATTGGATAAAGTAGCAAGACAGCACAGGGTAGCACCTTAATATTTTTACAGAAGGAGGTATGATTGTGTGTAGCCAATGTCCAATGTCTAGCATTAGCGTTTTTTTTTACATGGCCATCTGGTTTACCCTCAAGGTCACCGATGTCTGGAATGTACTAAATACATTGTGTGAGTCACTGGCTAGAAGAGGTGCATTTCACCTTCGACTTTGTGGAGGCGAAGGCAGTGTGCAGACCCACCTGTCACCCCCTGTTCACATCTCTGCCCTTTGACTCTGGCTTCATTCACCGCAGGGCAGAAGTGGAAGTCGTCAGGGAAACAGGGCGGAGAAGGTCCCGAGTGCCGCTACTTCCGGGGACACTTTACCCTGTGCCACCATGCTTTACAGCTCACTGCTGCTGCTGCAGGGCAGCCTCTCCTGCAAGCAGGGGCCGACACTTTGTAAATGATAACAGACTTCTCGAGGTGTGCCCCTGGAGACATCCCCGTGACAGGCTGGAAACATTCAGAACTAGTCCACGGGAAAAGAGCCGCAGGCAGACCCAGTAGACATCACAGGGACAGATGGACCCAGAGGCAGTATGGGCACGGCAAGTCTGTACCCATTGTCGCCATAGCTGGGCATTTACTCAGTGGGGTGTCACTGGTTTTTTCCTTTTTCCATTTTTATGTGCGTGCTGTGCATGTATGTGGCTTACATGCATGTGGAGGTCTGAGGCCGATGAGGGGGATGAGGGGATTCATTCTCAATCCGTCTGCCTTAGTTGACAGGTGTACAGCCTCTCAATAGCTTCAGGAACATGGGCTAAGAATTCTTAGTTATAAAGCATTAGTAACATCTGTTACATCGTAGCAACTTAGTAAATGCTCACTGTTTGGATTTTTTTGTGTTTTTTTATTTTTCCTTAGGCTTGTGTTGTTGTTGTTTTTGTGTTTTGTTTTGTTTTGTTTTGTTTTAGGACTGAGGATAGAGCATTCTAGACAAGCATTTCACCCCTGAATTGTTTCAAAAGCTTTCCCCCCAGCCCTCAAATTTAGCCCCTTCAGGGGCCTTTTTAAGGAATGTTTGTGCTTTGTGCAGGAAGGAAGGAGACCTAGGACTCAGCCCAAGCTGCCCACAAGGAGGAGCAGTTAAAACCTCTCCTCTGAGCCGGGCGGTGGTGGCGCACGCCTTTAATCCCAGCACTTGGGAGGCAGAGCCAGGCGGATCTCTGTGAGTTCGAGGCCAGCCTGGGCTACCAAGTTAGTCCCAGGAAAGGCGCAAAGCTACACAGAGAAACCCTGTCTCGAAAAAAAAAAAAAAAAAAAAAACAAACCTCTCCTCTGGCTTGATGATAGAAAAAGAGCTGTCTGCAGAGCCCAGATCCGCCAAAGCTGGAGGCTGGAAGGATGGTGGACAGGGAGAGATGAGGTACCACATGTCGAGTGTTCCGTGGAGGCCAGGCGAGGCAGCTCCTCCCAGCAGTGCGTTCCTCCTTTTGCCACCTCTTAGACCACCTCTGTCCCCCAGCCAAGGCAGGACCCACCCACCTGTAGAAAGCCTCGCCCAGCAGAGGATGCTGGAAAATCCCAGATCCCCACAGCCAAGGCCCTTCCCTCTTCTTCTGTCAATTAAACTGCAAAAGAGAAATGTCTGTGAGCTCTGGGGCCTTCTCACACCTGCTCCTTCTGGCTCCTGGCTCCATGGTCCTGTCTGGCACCTTGGAAGGCTACACTTCAGAGCTGTGATCGGAGCCCAGGGATCCTGCTCCTGGCTAAGACACCCTCTCTCCTTGTGACTTCATCACTGGTTCGGGGTCTCTGAGTCCAGAAAAAGACCGCCCTAGCAATCAGCTTCTTCGTCACTGGTGTCAAGAGGAGAGAGCTCACAGGGTCTCCTTTACCGGGCACAGCAGCGCTGCGTTCTCTGATGCCTGTGACTTTAGGTTTTCTAAACATGTCCTCATTTCCCCCGTGTGAAATGAAACTCTGGGTCATCTGCAGGCTTTTCCTGAGCTCTCTGATGAAGCCCAGGCCTGAGTATCGGTGAGCTCCACCTCTAGATTCTCTTGTTAAGCTCACCCCCTCAGGATTATTACCAAAGACTAGTTTCACAGTGGGGAGATCCTACCACCTAACTAGGACTCTCAGCAGCCCCAACAGGATAGATGGGACTGGAGATCCGTTAGTGAGTACTTGCCTCAAGTGCAGGAGGCCATGGGTTCGATCTCCAGCAACATTATAAACGGGGCATAGTCGATCTGGCCTGTGAGCCCAGCATTCAGGACTGAGAGGCAGGAAGATCACTAGTTGAAGACCAGAGTCTCCCAAAAGACACCAGTAATTTTGAGACAGGGCCTTACTCTGGCCCAGGCTGGTCTCAAATTTATGGTCCTTCCGTTGCGAAAAGCCTCCTGAATTACAGGTATGCCACCACTTGAAGCTCATAAACGGGATTTTTTTTTTAATTACTCATTATTTTTGTGCGTCTGTGAAGTGTGTGTCTGGGCGTATATACAGGGGTGCGCACTTGGAAGTCAGGGGCAACTTTGTGGAATCGGTTCTTTCTTTCCACCTTTGTGTGGGATCCAGGGTTTGACCTCGGGTTTTCAGGCTTACAGGACAAGCGCTTTATTTGCTAAAACATTTTGCCAGCCCCAGAAACAGGATTTTTTTTTTTTTAAATGACAGTTGCTACTTGCTCTGTTAAAGTTGAGATTTTAGGCAAGTGTCTCTCATCCTACTGACCTTCCGTTTCCTTCTGTATAAATAGAAGAAGGAACACCTGTCTCACGAGGTTAATTTAAGAGGAAGAATACAAAAGTGGGTGGCATACAGGACTTACTAAAGAGCCTTTCCACACCTTCCCTTTGTAGCCTGGTGTTGCCAGAGGCTCCCAAGTGCTCCAGTGAGCAGGGGAAATAAATGTGGAGGGCGCAGAACACCAGAGTAGCGCCTGGAGAGAGAAACCTGTGCTGGACTTGGTTTGGGGGGTACAGAGACAGGGCAGCAGGAGGGACCAAGGTCGCCTGGAGCTTGTGGAGTGGGTGGAGAGGTTCCATGTGGGGCCAGGCTGGCGGTCCACCGTGGGTGCCATGCTTCCCCAGACACAGGCTTCCCGGTACCATTCGCTGTGTGACTTTGGAGTCTGGGAAACAGAGCCGAAAAGAAACTTAGTAATTACCTAATGCCAGCGTCAGGAAAAAAAAAAAGAGAGAAAGTGAACTTTTCTCTTTGAAGAAAACCAGTTGTGACGGGGAGCAAAAGGAAAATTGACTCCAAATGGGATCATGTTTTATTCAGAGTTAGTGCTGCCGGTGGGGGATAGCCAGCACCCAGTGACGGGGTGAGAAAGTAGGACACCCCAACTTTAAGCTTCATGCATTGTACATGAGCTCTGCCCACTTCACTAAGCTCGGCTCCCAGGGACCTCTAATGGCCCTCGCTAGCAAACATAGTTAAAAATTAACAGGCTGACAAGATTAAATACGGATGGCGAGCAGCCACGGTGGACCGAATCTGACGCAGGGTGTTTCACGCTCGGGTGCCCTCAACCAGAGCCGCGTCTCGGTGAACTTGGAGACATCGGAGCACATTTCGCACGCCTATCTGGAAACAGGAGCCTAACTTAATTCTCAGATCAGCCAGGGAGGGCCGAGGCCCAGGATGGAGAGTCAGCCCCGAGGGCTTGGTCCCGGCGTGGTTGGTCTTTGAGGATGGGTTCATGATCCTAGGACCTTGGTTTTGAGGTTCGGATCCCAGTGACTGACACACTTGTCATCCTGCCTAGGAGCCTTTGAAGAGCCAGTCTTTTCCAGCTGGGACTTTTTTTGATATTTTGAGATGGTGTATGCCAGGCAGTCGAGGCTGGCCTCAAACTGGCAGCAATCCTCCTGCTTCAGCATCTCGAGTGCTAGGATTATTTGTATCAAGCTACCTCTTGGCTATAGCCGAGATGTTCTTACTTGGTCCTTGTCCAGCTGCCGGGATGAGTAAGATGGTAGACTTCCCTGTAGACAAGTCACACCATTCTTAGGTGCTGGGAATGGAACACAGGTGAATGGTCTAGGCAGCAAGTGCCTTTAGCCACTGAGCCTTTTACCAGTCCTGAAAATCCTTTTTTGAAGTACTCTCTTAACTGTTAGGCTCAAAATGGATAGGTTTGCTTTAGGGTTTGTTCCACAGCGACTAGACCGGGATGTCACTGGTGTGGTCATCTTCAAATGTTAGATTAGTTTCATTAAGAGTTAGGAGTTGGGGTGCCACATTGGATGCACCTTGGCCCCCTAGATCCACCTCATGACCCCTGGCAGGGGCCCGCCCTGGCATTTCTCAGCTCCATGGGTATTAAGCTGGTACAGAGTCAAAAGACTCTTGGCCAGGTGACCTTGGGGAGCCCCGGGGTGAGTCCCGTATCCCAGCAGAACCTTTCAGGCACTGTTCCACATTGACTCCACCCAAGGACGGAGAGTGTCAACAGCTCTCAAGTTTTACTGGGCTGCCGGGCCTTTCTAGAATGTTCCAGGCATGCTTCTAGAAGTCTAAATCAAGAGCAGGGCCTCACACATGAGCATGTGCATGCCAGCAGCCCAGAGGGCACTTTGCAATGCAAGTGAGATGGCGTGGCAGGTAAAGGCACTTGCTACCAAGCCTGATGACCCGAGTTCAATCCCTGGCTCCCACCATTTGGTGGAAAGAAAAACCAGCTCGGCCAGGCTGCCCTCCTTCCTCACATTCATACACCTAAATAAATTCATAAACAAATACATGGGGTCCGATGTTTAAAATGATTCGGGCTGAAGCAAGCCTGGCGGCCCAGAGACTGCAGCTCAGGACTTGCCCCCGTGGTCTGCAGAGAAAGCCACCAAAGGATGTCCGCTCACTATAGTGGTCCCTATGTCCTGGAAGCCTTCCTCCTGAATCTGAAGAGGACGGTGACAGTGGGAATCAGTCACTAGAGAGGAGAGAGTCAGAGCCAATGATAGTCATCCCTGCCCTGCCCTGAGGTGCCCGGCCTGCAGGGGGTGCCAGGGAGGGTGTGCTGAATGGGGGTTCCACCCTGGAGACAGGCAGGCCTTTCTGCCCTTGGCATCATCATTTGAAACAAATCCTGAGTGGTGTTCAAGTGTCGGGCTTCCGTGCTGTGTCTTGCGGGTATCTGCTACTTTCTCTGGCATGTTTTATTTTTTTTCTCCAAATTATTTGCTTCCCAGGTGTCTGACTCACGTCTAGCCCTGTCACCACTTGGGATATTAGTCCCTGACGAGACAATGTTGCCTTTCTATGAGGAGTGTTTTAAAGCAGCATTCCTGATGGAGGGTGGCGGAATCCATACAGTGTGGCCCCAGGACAATAAATGACCCCCTTAACAACTCAGTTACTTGGAGAAATTTCAGGTTTCTAGATTTCTAAGTCTGTGATACCGCTTGACACTTACCTCTGGCACAGACTAACTCCGGGGTAGTGTTGGTTAAATATTGTATTAGAAGTTCTTATGGGGACCTCAAACCCCCGGAATAGTATACAAGCTTGTGAAGTGTGTGTGTGTGTGTGTGTGTGTGTGTGTGTGTGTGTGTGTGTGTACATGCTTCTTCAGTGCAGAAGTGAGCAGGATGACCCTGAGGCCAGCTCCTCTTCCGTGGTTACACATGGTTACAATGTAGACTTAAATGTTCCTAAAGAGCTGACTCTGAGGAAGTCTGGGGAAGCCTGTGGCCCCTGCAGTAAGGTGTTAATGAGGAGTCAGATGGTAGCCTCGGGGCTTGGACAGGAGTGGGGGGTGCTACAGCAGAGCTGACAGCCCAAACGGGGGGGCGGGGGGGGGCGGGGTGTAAAGGTGAACCTCCTTGCTGCCCTCCAAACAGTAGTGATTAGCACAAAACTGCTTGTTCTCCTGGGCCAGCTGCCCACACTCCTGGCTCTGCCCCTCGGACTCTGCCCCGCTGTGGGTGTAGGCACAGGAGGCCGCTCGGTTTGGCCTGCCAGGCACTGCCCCCTGCTGGAAGGTGGGTTGCCTCGGGTATCTGGACGGCAGCAAGAGCCACCACCTCTTGGAAAGCACATTGTGGAGTCCTAGCGGTGAACCACAGAGGGATGAGCTTGGGAGTCCATCTCTCAGGCGGCTGCTGTGTGATCGAGGGCGTGCGTGCATGCGTGCGTGCGTGCGTGCGTTACAGTGGCAGACAGCAAGGAGGAGGCCTCTTTCACAGTCACCTTCACCTGGCCCAGACCCGTGCCATCTACCCTGCGGCTCACCGTCCCTCCTGCCGGCCCATTCATTCCTGTGTCCCCTCAATGAACACCATCCCCATGGTGGCCCCGGGGGCCCTACATCCCCACCTCACACCCAGGCCTCACAACTGCCACTGCCGCTCCACACTGACCCCGGTGCACACGGACCGTTTTAGGTTTCGGGTCCCCGCGCCCCCTGCCTAAGGGCCCCGGCCCCTAGGCTGACCTTCCCCAGCTGACGCGGGAAGGCAGCGCCAACTCTGCTCTCTTTAGAGAGCAAATGGACTCGGATGAATGCACGAGCCATGAGCCATGGGTAGGTACTGGTCTCTTCTGTCTCTAGCCCTCCTAACCCTGATTTTCCGCATTTTCTCCTCTTGATTTTTTCTTTTAAGCTTCTTTTGTCCTATAGACACTCAAGTGTGCCCGTTTAGTCTGTCCTCCAGGACAAGTTTCTGGTCCCTCGGCCCCTCCTGCCATGAGTTGTGGGAAAGATGCTGGCCTGTCTTCAAAGACCATTGGGGACTTCTGGGGACTCTTGGGCAACATGCCTTTCCCCTCACAGTCTTTGAGCCTCTGGCTAGCTGCTCTCTGCTTTCTGGAAATGACTTCTTCTGACATGGTCCCCAGAGGACACCTCATATTCAAGATGGCCCCAGGGATGCCCTGAGGTAGACTCTGAAGCGCCAGAAGCTTACAGTTCATCCCCGGGGGTTTGCTTAAAGCCACATATGTCCCAAATCAGAGCAGAAGTCTCTACCCCCAAGTTGACCTAGTAGGTGGAGTCCCCTCGTGTGGCCCCCTGTCCTACACTGACAACCAGGAGACACCATTAATATGGGGGTGGGGGCGTCCTTGAGTTGGCAGGAAAACCCCAGGACTGCTTGGGAACCAGGGCAAAAGTCGAAGAACTAGCTTCTCCCTAGGGTCCAGCCCCTTGGGTTCTCAGCCCTTAGCGTGTGCAGGGTCCAGCAGCTCCTGGTTCTGCATTCTGAGCTGGACTGGACAGGTTGCTTCCTACACTTGTGAAAGAGAGGACGGGGCAGGTTTGCCTGAATCCCTGAGACCCTGGGGTCTTCCTATGGTTGTCTGTAATTTCCCTCTGGCCCCATGGCACCTCTGCCTCAGCCAGAATGGTGCCTGCTCCATCTCCATACTTGAGCCATGTGTGGAGGTCCTGGCTCCACTTCCCAAGTGTCCCCTCAGCTGGGTGGCGGTGGCGCACGCCTTTAATCCCAGCACTCGGGAGGCAGAGCGAGAGCCAGGACAGGCACCAAAAGTACATGGAGAAACCTTGTCTCAAAACCAAAAAAAAAAAAAAAAAAAAACCAAGCGTCCCCTCTTGGCTGTCATTTGCATTCCCCAGCAGCGTCTCCTGTGGTCTCCTGTGTTGCTCACCGTACTCGGTGGGAGGCCATCCCTCTTCCCTGATAGAGGAGAGGTAGAGTAAGCCTGTTCTCTGGAAGTAGAAGCTGAAGGATCCGGGGTTCAAGGCTAATTTTTTTTAAGTTTTATTTATTTATATTTCATGTGTGAGCGCCCTGCATGTATACCTCATGCCAGAAGAGGGCATCTAATTATAGACGGTTGTGAGCCACCATGGGGGTGCTGGGAATTGAACTTAGGACCATCTGGAAAAGCAGCCAGTGCTCTTAACCACTGGTCTCTCTCTCCAGCCCCTCAAGGCTAACCTTGGTTTCATGGTGAGTTAGAAGTTAGCCTGGGCTATGTGAGACCCAGTCTCAAAAAAAAAGGGGGGGGGAGGGGCATGAGGGGTGGAGACAGCGGTAAACAGACATTCCCTCTGCCCAACAGATTACAGACAGGACTGGCATCAGTATACCGGTGTTTAAGAATGCAAAGCTCACGCCTTTCTTGTTCATGGGACCCAGAGCATCTGCCGGGTGGAGAAGGCATCCCTCAGCCTGGTTGTTAAAGACTGCTGTTGCCCTCTGTTTAACTGTTTGCCACCGGCTCCAGGCACCTCTGGGGCACCGAGCACAGCCTGGTCTTCCAGACAGACACCCCACCATGCCAGGGAGCCGACCCTTTCCTGAGAGAACAGGTTCTCGAGAAAGCTGAATTCCCGCCAGGCCGGCCTCGGGAGGAGTCATGAAGTGCCCCCTCCCTTGTATTGTGCTTAGGAAACCATTAGGCAGCTCTGCCCGGCTTGGGTATTTCTAGGGGAGTGTTGAGGGGAGGATCCACAGCGTCATCCTGGGCCTCTGATGCTCGTTATCTCTGAAAAGGAAAGACAGTTGGCGGGACCCCGGTGCCAGCTGGAGTGGGTGCCCCTCTGTAAGCTTGGCTGGTGCCTTCACAGGGCACGAGGCAAGTCTCTCTGGATGCTGCTGTGGTGTTTCTCGGCCCTGGGCAGGAAATCCTACCCTGGCCATCTGGGAACAGTGATGGGGGGGCTGAAGACCCGCCCAGAACAAGGTGGGACCCCTGGTTCACTGCTCTTCCTGTCTTTCCAGATGCGCTGGCTCCCTCCCTCCGAGGCTACTTCTCAGGGTTGGAAGTCCCGACAGTTCTGCTGAAGGCTGTGTGAGTACGGGGCTTCTCCAGGGGCTTTCCGGGGCTTCTCCAGGGGCTTCTCCCGGGGCTTCTCCCGGGGCTTCTCCCGGGGCTGTTCAGTGCACCTAGCCCGCACATGGCAGATGTCTGTGATCAGCAGCTTCCTCCATCCAGGAGAAACCTGGGTACCTACCTCCCCAGGGCATTTTCACCTGGAATGGGAAGATGATGAACAGGCCCAGGGCTGCTTGACTCTCACTTGGGGATCAGATTCCTGCCCGTCCATCATCCCATAAGTTATCATCAGTGCACATGTCTACAGATCAGGCATCAGGAAAATGATGACTCAGTTGTGGTTCGCCTGCTGTCAGCATTAAACAAAAACCCTTCCCAATATGGAGGACATGTTGCCCACTCAAACACAGATTTTTTTCTAATAGAAGGCAGTGTGCTATTGTTACCAAGACTTGCCTTAAGATTTTAAAATATCTTTTTATTTTTTAGATTTGTTCTTTACATGTATGAGTTTTTTGCCTGCATGTTTGTATGTGAACCACGTGCATGCAGTACCCCAAGAGCCCAGAAGAGGGCATCTGACACCCCCAGAACTGGAGTTAGAGGTGGTTGGGTGACCATGTGGGTTCTGGGAAGCAAACCCACGTCCTGTACAAGAGCAACTAGTGCTCTTACCCACCGAGCTCTCTCTCCAGCCCCCACATTTTAAAAATTCATTGTTTTCAATTATTGAAAAATATTTTTTTTGTACAGCAGATTCTGATCACAGTTTTCCTTCCTGAATTCCTCCTACCTCCCCACCAGCCCCACAGAAATCAGGCAAACAAACGAACAAACACCAAGCCAGAATTTAAAGAAAGAAAAAGCACAAGAAACACAGACACACCAAAACAAACCCCATAAAAATCGGAAACTAATAAGTAAGCCAAACGTCCAAACAAGCAATATGAGACAGAAAGTCTACAGAAGTCCCATTGAGTTGTAGTGTTAGCCAACCTAAGTGTGGTCATAAACCATGTCCCAAACTGGTTTCTTTGTGCCGGGTTAGTCCTGACTTTGCCTCGGACAACAATGCTATCAATTATTTCTTGTAAATGCAGCGTATGCAAAAACACCGATGCCTTCTGTAATTTGGTGTCTTGACTGAATTTCTGATTAAGCACTGGGCACCGCAGTTCTGAACGTGGTGGGAACTGGGGCGTGTGACTGAACTGAACAGCATTACGGTTCCCCAGTCACCTTCTCCGCTAGATCCCTCAGCCGTTTATGAACCAGAGAGGGAAGCGAGTGGGTGGAGGAGCAGGCTTGGGTCCTGAGACGCCGAGGCAGCCCTGGCAGCGTGTTCGGCCCTGGTCCGGATGCTGACAGTGGCAGGATCTTCAAGCCCTTCTCTTCTGAGAGTTGGGCCACATAAGCGGATACTTCTCCCACTGTTGAGGCAGAGGCTCGGGACTTCCTTAGGTCATGAGAGACTCTGCAGAGCTCCCGTGTGTTGTGAACGAGTCTGTGGCGGCTTACCTCGACGTGTTTGTGAGCGCCCGTGGAAAGAGGAAGTAAGAATTGATGGGTGATGGGGCTAGCCTTGTCTTCCGGAGGAGAAAGGACAGGTGCCACAGGCAGCAGCAGCCTCTTTGGCCCTAAGGCTTAGGTGGTGATGGGTCACCTTCAGCAGTCATGCTGGGTGTTGACTGCACTTGCTGAGACCGCATAGTGCTGGGAGGTCAGTGTTTCCCAAGTGTGCTCCTGGCCTGGGGGCGGGGCGGTGTGGTGGGGCGGGGCGGGGCCGGGCAGCGGGGCGGGGCTACCAGCCTGCAGGAATGCCTGTCATGGAATCAGAGTGGCAGAGAGCCATCTGGTTCTGCTGGTAGAGTGGTAGGTCCTGGAGGGACACTGGTTTCAGTTGGTGGGCAAGTTGGCGAATGTCGACGGCACAAAGCTTCTTTCTCTTTTTGTTGTTTCCTTTTGTTTACTGTTTATATAGGCTTTAAGCGATTATGTGCGTCCCGTTTTAAAAGACCCTACACTTTGTACGAGCATGCTCACATTCCCCCCCCCCCCCCCGGAAATCATTATTCTTCCCAGACCCATGACAGTCGCTGTCAGTCAGAGAGAAGCCTGGTGGTGGCCGCAGCTACCAAAGCCGGTTAGGGACTGCTGCCCTCAGCACAGAGAAAGCTCTGAACCGAAGAATGTGACATCTCTTGAACACAATCCATCTCTTCTGAGCTGAATATGGGCCACAGGCCAGAGCTTGCCTGGGGTGTGAGAAGGTCTCGGGGTGTGTGTCATGTGGAGATAGTCCAGAAGGAACTTGGGTAGCAGTGCCCATCACTGTCGCGTGGAGCTAGGCATGTGCAGCCCCCATTCCAGCGCCTTCCAGAGTCTCGGAGCGGGTCCTTTCCAAGTCAGCTAATAATCCAAGCTACGCAATTTGGGGGAATAGAAAACAGATCTGTCCCTCTTAGCTGGATGAGCTAATAGGGACACTCAGGAAACCAAAACACATGTCAGAAAGGCCAATGCTGGCCAGGTGGCCAACTTCATACCACAGAAAATGGTACTGGAACAGACCGTGAGGGCAGTAGGGGTGCTTGGCGTCATACCATCCCTTCTGGTGTTAGAGTGTGGTATACTGGCCTTCAAATCCTCGATGGTCCTTGGCCTACTCCGGAAGAGGCGGTGGATGGGAGATTGGTTTTCTGAGACAAGGTCTTACCTAGCGGGCTGGTCTGGACTTGTGATTTTGCTTCTGGCTCCCAAGTGTCTGGGATTACAAGGGTGCAGCACTGTGCCTAGCCGCCTAGGGATCTCTGGTTTACCCACTCTGCTCTTCAGTGCTGACATAGATGACTAAACTTGAAATAAAAACCAACCTAGCCCTTTCTCTTGGTGTACATGTGGGTTCTAGCCGATGTGTCCTACGTTGTCCCCGGGCCTCGCTGACAGAAAGAATATGCACACAACAGCTGCTGCGATGCCCTGGGCTCAGGCGGCAGAGAAGCGTCTGTGGGTTTTGCCCTCACTGGTGGTGTGAGGGAGACCTCTGGAAGAGTGGCCAGAGGGCTGAGTGTGCCGCTGATGTTTGCTTGGCACACGGAGTCGATAGATGAGTGATGTTTAGTCTGCCTGCACGTATCGCCCCATCGCGATAGAGTTTTGGTGATGGCCCAGCCATGTGACAGAGGACTGTGATAATGTTTGAAAGACGATGTTTTGAAAATCATCGATTTCCCTGCTCTACCAAGAACAAGAGAACACGCTTTCTGTCACTTCTTACGAGTAACAGATGATGCCTTTCCTTGTTGGACATCCAAATATAGTTAAACAAGTCTTCTCAAGAGCCTGGGAATTGGTGTGGGATGAGATAATATTCATAAGAACTTGTGAGATTCACTTGGCCTTTAACCACGGCATGGAAATTGTAAGCATGTGTCGTTACAGCCTCACCAAATTAGAGGAAATAATGGGGGATAAAAATGGCTGGAATTTGTGGCAGTTTATGCCTACACCTTCTTTGGGAGGAACAGCCTAGTCTGCCTGTCTTTAAGGCTGGGCCTTCATGCAGGCCCAGATGGCTGCTGTGGCTCCAGCAATCCCCTCTGCTCTCTCCTTGACAAGAGACCAGTGTGCTCCATATTGCAGTACACTCAGAAGCCAGGGCAGTTCTTATGACTGACTTACCCTTCCTATTTCTACTTTTTCAGGGTCACACTTAACTCACAACAGTATGTATTCATTGAACAACTAGAGTGGACTGAGGAGGAGGGTAACGGATTGATAAAATGAACATAATAGGTCAACTAGGGGTGGGTAGAGTGGGAACTTGGAGTGTGCTAGGAATTGTGGGGGCTTGGCAGCCCTTCATGCTTCGTGTAGGAGGCTCAGCAGGCGGGGCTGCCCAGCAGACCCCACTGTGCCGTGTTTGGAGACTACGACCGCTCCGATCCGTTTTCCTCTCCCATGGCGAAATAAAAAGTTAGGTGGGCTTGGGAAGTGGCCAGCGGCCTCGAGGAAGCACATGAAGAAGGCTCTGCCAGCCCTTCTCTAGGAGATGCCCGCCTGTCATCTCCACAGGGAGATGCCCATCTAGCTCTGACTGCTCTCAGCCTAGGGTCTGGTGTGCTTCCATGGATATGACAGGGCTGCCCACCTCTGTCTGCCCTGCCGGATACTGCACCCCTCCAGGCAGTCCCAGGTCCCCCGAGCCTCGGTCAGCTGCCAGGCAACACATCTACTCCCAGCCGTGACCACCAGGCTGGTCCCTACACCCGCCCCCCCCCCATAGCCGTGTGCACAAAAGCTGTGCCCCGTTACCTGTTCCGGGTCCGGCTGTTCAAGCTTGGAGAGAGCGGCCAGATGGGAGACTGGGTACTGACCCCCTGCCCCAGCTCCAGTGCCCGCTCATCTTCGGATTTTATGAGGGTGTGCAGAGGGCTGCTGTGCCTGGCAGAACGTGGAGAATGCACGCGCTCTGGGGCTCTGGGCATGTCCCGGTCTCCGAAATGCCCGGCTCCTGCCCACTACCTCCTGCGAGCCCTGATCTGCAAAGCTTGTTGGTCAACCCCCGTGTCCCGGTGAACATGGGGCCAGTTCGTCCTCCTGATTAGCGTGAGCCCAGCAGTCAGGAGGAAGCAAGCCACCCCTGTGACTCCAGCAGCAACAGGCACCCTCAAAACTCAGTGCAGCGTGGCCACCTAGGAGGCGCCCTAGGGCTGCTATTGCCAGTCAGCCTTGGGGGGGCACCCTTGGTCACGATGGGAGTGTGACAAGGCTTGGGGGACATTAGGTGTCTTCCTTCCTCAAACAACCCAGCTTTTACTAGGAAACCGGAATCATGCCCACCCCCCCTTTCAATGTTTCTGTAGTGAGCTCTTCCCCGTTTATTCTCATGAGACAGGTGTATTGGGAAGGCCGCCTGTCCCACAGGCTCACCCCTGACTCCAGAAGAACAGATTCCACACGGGATGTAGCCTCTCCCGTCTTCAGCAGAGCATCAGGAAGCCCTGCAAGCTAGA